CTTGCACATTGAGAGAGGGGATGACCCAATATTGGTATTCAGCCTTTATGGTGAATGGAGTGACAGTAGAAGTTTGCAATGGCTGATATCCTCGTAGGCATTGAAATGTTTGTTCTGGAAGTCACTAGTGTCAAATATATTCCCTCCAACTCATCAAATAAAACATCCTCTTCTAACAAAGCAACTGTTTCAGTCAGATGGCTAAACTTTAGGACTAGAAGTCAAAATGAATGGTATGTAAGAATTATCTGTACATAGCTAAAGTCAGGACTGAAAATTCTACTGTTTATTGGATAAAATCATCCAAACAGAATGCAATATGGCTTTCAAGCCTTAAAGTATTAATGATGAATCCACTTACCCTTCTTATACTGAAAAAATGTGTCTATATTAAGCTCTAGTGAGTGACCAATCCACATACGTAATACAGAAAACTGCACATTAGACAGACCCTCACTATGTCAACCCCTGTTAAAGGGCTTACCAGGCAATGAGTATAACCATCTTAATGAAGAATTTGTGGAATACAAATACTAAATATACACATTGTTAAAGGTTTTCAAGAAGTACATCTTATTTGTTTTAATGTATATAACAAAGTATGGAGAAAGCAGCAGAATGGAAATTTTATAAGAAAAATGTTGACACTAGTGAATCCCAATACCAAATAAGGAAGATACAGGCTTGAAGACCATCACAGGAGTTAGCATGGGACACATTCCAGTCATGCCCTCAGAAGTGCAAGAATTCACAGCTACCAATTCTTGTACCAGACAGACATGGTATGTTGAGAAAACCCCAACAGTTAGATAAAACACGACGAAATGAGCCAATGTCACAAAAAAAGCAGTTAACAGAATGGTGATGAAAGACAAGGGTAAAATACTCTTAGTGAAGAGACCAGAGTTACATGGCTTGTTTCTATACACTGTAAGTTAATTGTTTTAGATGATTTTGCCAAAGATATTAGATAAGGGACAGAAATCAGTTCTATAAAGACCAATAACAATAGTCCACTTGTTGCTGCAAGACTTGTACCAATCAAGTTAAAAGGACTAATGTTCAAATTAGATCTGCTAAACTTCTGGAACAATTGGAAAAACACAAAAAATTGTGTATATAATTCCATGTTTCTGACTCCAAACATCAACTTCTCCACACTTATCAAGTTGCTCCAAGGACCAGATCCAACTCCAAAAGAAGATGGTAGTGATCCAGAATCTACAAGAATTTCACTGCACAAACTACTTGTATGCTATTTCTGATCTAGTCTAACAATGTTTCACTTAAGGTTCAATAACGTATGATGTATAAAAATAGAAAAGTGAAGAATACTAAGTGTACTAAAGAATTAGTAGATTTTATAATGCTTATCATGAAACTACTTTAAGATATCTTAGAAAAATTCTTAATGCAGTTACACAGATTATGGGTGAGAGGGTTTCTTGTGTTAACTTAGTTGATAACTAATGATGTGTCTATGTTATTGTACATAATAGAAGGTCTTATTAATGAACATTTAGACTTTCAAAGTGTTGTTTCAAGAAAACCTCAAGAGTTTCAATATAAATGAACTGCTTAACAGTATATAAATAAATAAGTTATTTGATTTGTATTCAGTTGTCTCTATGCGAGTTCTTTATTTCACACGCGCCCCCCAGTGGCACATCTGTATGTCTGAGGACTTACAACACTAGAAACCGGGTTTCGATATCTGTGGTGGGCAGAGCACAGATAGCCCATTGTGTAGCTTTGTACTTAAGTACAAACAATCAATCAATTTCACAAGTAAACTTTCTCAAGTTGGTGGCTTGTGTGCTCCGCTCGCAATAGCATGATCTGAAATCCAAATAAGTTTCTTTGTAACAAGTGTAAAGTAAAATCCAATTGCCCCAAGCACAGTAACATCCTCAGAATAATAAACATTGAGAGATAGCAGAAGGGGAAGAACCATAATAATCTTCAAGCACCTCCACCATGACCCACAACACTGATGGAGTTACAGGAGTATAAATGAGAGAGGAATATAGACATCTGTAATACATGTGTGAGGACTTATATTGATTGGTTCTACTCTAAATCCAAAACTCAGCCAGTGGGAACCAACATCCACATGGGAGTAGGATGAGAGATCCCAATCAAAGGGGTGAACTGCAATTTTAACATCTCACTTCCATTTATTTTTATGTTTCATATTGAGGATATCACATCATCTACACCAGCAGAACATCACCACCCTACTCTCAATTGAATGATTTTATAATCATATCTATATTTTGTTTGTATTTCATTTACCCATTCAGGAGGATGCCTCCACGGTCCACCACCCCAGCAGCTTACAACTGAAAAGTGGTAAGAACTCTAAAACTCCACTAGAAAAAAAAAAAAAAGGGGGGGGGTAAAGGAGAGTGCAGAGGAACAACAATGCCTGAGATAGAGATGCTTTACTCATG